TGATGTTATTGATTTAGTTCATACTGATGTTTATACTATGCAAACTAGAACTCTTGGAGGTGCTCTTTATTTTGTTACTTTTATTGATGACCATTCTAGAAAAGTTTGGGCTTTTGCTTTGAAATCTAAAGACCAGGTACTCGATGCTTTCAAGGAGTTTCATGTTAGTGTTGAAAGAGAAACTGATAGAAAACTCAAGTGTGTTCGATCAGATAATGGTGGCGAGTACAGGGGTCCTTTTGAGAATTATTGCAGGTTTCATGGTATCAGGCTTGAGAAAACAGTTCCTAAAACTCCTCAGCAGAACGGTGTGGCAGAAAGGATGAACAGAACTATTGAAGAAAGGATTAGGTGTATGCTTTCTCACGCCAAGTTACCAAAGTCATTTTGGGGAGAGGCTATGAGAACTACAGTTGACCTGATAAATCTTTCTCCATCAGTTCCTCTGCAAGGTGATGTTCCAGAGAGAGTATGGAGAGGAAAAGATATATCTTATAATCATTTGAAAGTCTTTGGGTGTAAAGCATTTGTTCACATTCCCAAAGATGAGAGGTCCAAGCTTGATAATAAGGCAAAAGCATGTATCTTCTTGGGATATGGTCATGAAGAGTTTGGGTACAGATTATGGGATCCTTGCTTGAGATGAGATCCTTGCTTGAGAATCATACTTATGACTTGGTAAGATTGCCTAAAGAGAAGAAAGCTCTCAAGAATAAGCGAGTTTACAAATTGAAGACTGAAAGCAATAGCTCACAACAGAGATACAAGGCACGACTAGTTGTGAAAGGATTCAGTCAGAAGAAAGGTATTGACTTTGAAGAAATATTTTCTCCGGTTGTGAAAATGTCCTCTATCCGAGTTGTTCTTGGTTTGGCTGCCCGCTTGAATTTAGAAGTTGAACAACTTGATGTAAAAACATCATTTCTTCATGGTGACTTAGAAGAAGAAATTTACATGGAGCAACCAGAAGGTTTCAAAGTCAAGGGAAAAGAAAATCTGGTATGTAAGCTTAAGAAAAGCTTATATGGACTCAAACAGGCACCTAGACAGTGGTACAAGAAGTTTGATTCCTTTATGATGAGCCAAGGGTATGATAGAACCACATCTGATCATTGTGTGTTTATGAAAAAATTTTCAGGTGATGATTTTATTATTTTACTGCTATATGTTGATGATATGTTGATTGTTGGTCATGATGTTGGAAAAATTGAAAAGCTTAAAAGAGAGCTAAGTAAGTCTTTTGCCATGAAAGACTTAGGATCGGTGAGACAAATACTTGGCATGAAGATTCTTCGTGATAGGAAGAAAAGGAAGATTTGGCTATCTCAGGAGACTTACATTGAAAAGGTTCTTGAAAGATTCAACATGAGTAAAGCCAAAGCAGTTTGTTCTCCACTTGCAGGTCATTTCAAGCTGAGTTCAAAACAATGTCCTACAGGTGAGAAAGAAAAAGAAGAAATATCCAGAGTGTCTTACTCATCTGCAGTAGGCAGTTTGATGTATGCTATGGTTTGTACTAGGCCAGATATAACTCATGCAGTTGGAGTTGTTAGCCGATTTCTCTCAAATCCTGGAAAGGAACATTGGGCAGTAGTGAAATGGATATTAAGATATCTAAGAGGTACTTCCAGGTTGTGTTTATGTTTTGGTGATGATGAACCTGTGTTAGAAGGGTACATAGATGCAGACATGGCAGGCAATACTGATTCCAGGAAGTCCACTTCGGGATTCTTGATGACATTTGCAGGAGGAGCAGTCTCTTGGCAGTTTAAGTTACAGAAGTGTGTTGCTCTATCAACCACAGAAGCAGAATATATAGCAGTTACTGAAGCCTGCAAGGAAGCTTTATGGATGAAAAAGTTTCTACAGGAATTGGGCTTGAAACAGGAAGGATATACTGTTTACTGTGACAGTCAGAGCGCTATTCACCTCTCCAAGAATTCAACATACCATTCTAGATCCAAGCATATTGATGTGAGATATCACTAGATTCGTGATGTGCTTGAGATGAAAGAATTACAATTGGAAAAGGTGCATACCAATGATAATGGTTCAAATATGTTGACAAAGTCTTTGCCTAAGGAGAAGCTTAAAGCATGTAGGCGAAGAGCGGGCTTGGTACAGCCCACCATATGAGCTGGAGGGGGAGAATTGTTGGGTCCAGCCCATATGTGGGCTTGGACAATTGGGCCTATTGAGAGAAAGGCCAAAATTAGGCAGCGTGGGTGTGTGCGCAGATCTGATTGCAGCGTGTGTGCGGCGGCGTGCAGTGAGAAAAGAGGAGAGAGAAATAGAGAGAGAAAGTAATATTTTTGAGTTTTTTGCTTGACGATCGGTGGCCAAACGTTGTCAGTTTCGGCCCAAATTTTATGTGGAGAATCCTTACAGCAAACTCTACAATCCTAACGGTGTTGATCTGCAGTTTACCCTCTCTAAGGTACTTTCCTGCGATATCCACTCTGTGAGACCTAGAATTCTCTTTTGAAGAGATCCATCCTACGTGATGAAGATATGCTATCCTTGAGCCAAGATCTATGTTCTTGATGTTATTCTGATCCTCTAGTTATTCTAGAGAAGACCTACTGTAAACCTGTTATCATTATTATTGATAGTGAAAGTTTGAGTAGGACTACGGTCCCGTGGTTTTTCCCACATTGGGTTTTCCACGTTAAAAAGATTTGGTCTCACTGTGTGATTGATTTATTGCTCTATTGTTTATGTTGTGCTGATTGATATTAGCATTTTGATATCAAGTTGGTATTTTGATGAGGAACCTATTTTGATACACAAAGAGGGAAAAGAATTATTCCGCATTAACAGGTTTCTTCCCGACATAAAGTTGGCATAAAAATGCCAATCGGTGCATCTAAGTTGAATAGCTCGGCTGATAAGAATGCGAAAACAAGGTCCATAGAAATGAATAAAAGGTGACTTCTTTATTCTTTCTCCTTTCTGATTCGATTGCCAACTTTTGTTTTGCTTCTTGCTTGCTTGCTTGCTTGCTTGCTTGCTTTCGCGCACCTTGGATAAACCTTGGATCAACATCCTCGCTGACGCAGCAGTTATCGCATATGAAGCAAAGGCCTAAAGTTATTTCGCCCAACGCCATGCATGGGGTTGCATATGAAACATGCGATCGTCCTTCAACAGCACGTAGCGCGCATGTGTTTTGGAGGGGCAGATACATGCATTATATACAGCGTCAAATTGAGCACCACCAAGCACAAACACAATCCTTCTTATCGCACCAACACCCACATAATCCTTCTTCCCTGTCATAACCATGGCACAAATCAGTGGCACTGAGAGTCCATCATGGGCGGACCTCCTGGGACTCAACCACTGGTCCGGCCTTCTCGACCCCCTCGACGACACCCTCCGCGACCTTTTAGATCTTATTACATAATCAATCTTAGCTAATTAATACTTTTTTTTAATGAATTTCATACTTCTATTTCATCATTTAGATCTTCTAATAATACTAATTTATAAATATTCATTAAGATTATTCAGGTTTCTCTTTCATCCTCCTTGAAAAATCAGCCAAGAATATTTTCATCTGACATATGAATGAATTGTTTAAATCTCAAATATTATGCTTCAGCATTTGTTACCTCTTTAAATTCCTCAAAACCAAAGGTTAACACCTTCTGATCCAAGTAAGGATCTTTTATCTTAACCATTCACGTCTAATAATTCAAATCCTATCAAATCCTGTTCAGATACAATATGCATTTTTATTGTCGAAAAAAATAAACAAAAATACACACTGCCATCATGCTGACGTCACCCAATCAAATCAAATCGGTTCATAGCCGGGCCCGGTTTTTTTTTTACATTTGGTCACAAAAACGGTCCAGTGTTTCGTGCGTACGTTATACATATGGGGCCGCTAAAAACAGTACCGGAGCCACGACGCAAGGTACGACTCGAGCGGACGCTCTGCCCTCTCCCAGAAAGGTCACCACTTACGTCACGCTATTACCGGACAAAGGAAGTGCACGCATGTGTTTCTCCTTTCTTCTTCTTCTTCTTCTTCTTCTCTCTCCTCCCTCTAAGAGCCCTCCTTCCTCCTACTTCTGGATCCGTCCAAACTAAATAAGGACAGCCATGTACTCTGCTGACACAGCATCGCAAAACCGAAGCAAGATCCCAGTTTGCTTCCTCCACCACGTTGCACGATTAATTCATGAGGTTGCATAGTATCAAACGATTGGCATTACAGTACGTCTTCACTCTTGAATCCTCATCCGGATTAGAACCTAACATGGCATTGCATGACACACATGTGTTTCATGCATATGGACGCACAGGCAGATGCATCGATATATATAGTCTTCGCCACCAGGCACCTCGCATCCCAAACACAGTCGATCCCACCATCTCCTGTTGTCCTACCAAAACCTAAAACTGGTCCTCTCTCCTTGTGTCGCAAAACATGGGGCACAATGCTGACAGTGAGAACCCATCGTGGGCGGAGCTCCTGGGATCAAATCACTGGGCCGGCCTTCTCGACCCCCTCGACTACTCCCTCCGCTGCCTCCTCCTGAAATTTGGCGACGTGTGTCAGGTCACCACCGACTCCTACATCACGGCCCTTGACTCCAAGAAGTACAGCGGCAATTGCAGCTACAGCATGGACAGGCTCCTCGACCAGACCTTCTTTACCTACGCTGCTGACTACCACGTCGTCCAATACCTCATTGCCAATTCGCAGGGTTGGATGGGCTATGTAGCGGTCTCCAACAGCGCTCACGCCGACGGATCCGGAGTCCGCGAGATCTACGTCGTATGGCGCGGGACCGAAGGAACCAAAGAGTGGTGCGACGATATCCCCAAAACTCTCGTGCCGTTCGACGACTCCACCAGCGATGTTCCGATGGTCATGAAAGGCTGGTTTGAGATCTACACCGTGGTAGCCGACGTGCAGACGAAGGAGAGCGCCAGGGAGCAGCTACTAGCTAAGATAAAAGAGCTGGTGGAGCAGTACAAAGACGAGAGCCTCAGCATAGTTTGTCTCGGCCACAGCCTGGGAGGCGCCCTTGCTATCTTAAGCGCTTACGATATAGTGAGGAGTGGGTTGTCTAAGATCGGGGAGAAAGAGGAGTTCCCCGTTTGCACCATGGTGTTTGGTTCACCGCGAGCGGGGAATCAGGCCTTCAGCGATAGCTGGGCGAAGCTGCCCAATCTGAGAGCTCTGCGTGTCTTGAACAAAGATGATCTTGACATTCCAAACTTTCCGCCAACTTCAGATGGCTACGTTGACATTGGCACGGTTCTGACCGTGGATTCCAGAAAGTCGCCGTGCTTGAAGACAAATCATGACAGGCATAACTTGCAGGTGAACCTGCACACGGTGGCCGGGTGGACCGGGGAGAACGGCGACTTCGACTGCACCATCGTGAAGAGGAGCCTTGCGCTGGTGAACAAGCACGGTGGCTATCTGAGTATAAACCCGGCGCTGCAGTCGTGGTGGGCGGAGAAGAACAAAAGGATGGTGCGTGGCGAGGACGGCTTGTGGTCTGAGTTACCGCCCGAGTCCTAGTTGAAGGGTCAAACGTCGCATGACGATGGAGCTGCAGGTCATCTGATCGAGGCATGCACGCATGTGGCGGATGCCTCCTCGTCGTCGTCGTCGTCGTCGTCGTCGTCTTGTCACTTGTCAGTTGGTGTGATGTGTTCCGTGTGTGGGCGTCGTAATAAGTAGTCCGAAGCCTCCTCTACGCCATAAATCGGACAACTTCTCGCTTGCTTTATCCGATCATAAATATAAATTTGTCATATCATGGTTTATACAATCCAGTCAACGTTTCGCATTACACATTTTGAAAATTTTCTTTAAAATATGATGGGATTTAACGAAGCATAGATTATAAATGAAGAAGGGAGTCGATTCAAAACTAAAAATTTTTATTAAACACAATAACTTATAAAACTTCTACCTTCATCTCTTTTTTCTTCTTAAATCGGGTCAATCCAACCAAATCTATGATTTCAACTCACATAAAGATTAGATAAAGTTCAATTTAATATTCCAATATAAAACAAATTCATGTGCCTGCTCCGACCATAGCATCTCAAGAAAACAAAACGGCCTATCATATCAGACCAAAGAGAGGCAAAAAGAAGTCCCAATCCTTTTATGTCATACTCCTTGCAAAAAAGAAAAAAAAGAAATATCAATCAGAAGAAAACTCTTCGCCAACATCAGTGTGCAATCTTTTAATTTTTCTTTGAAAGAACTTTGAACCGTTAACTTGAACTCTTAAAATTAAAAAAATTAATTTTTTCATAAAATAAACCCAAGTAAACCTTGTAAAATCATCAACGGAGATAAGCATATAACGAGAACATAAATAAGATGGTGTTTGAGTAGAGTCTATTAAATCGCTATGAATAAGCTCCAATGAAAATTTATATTTTGAAAGTGATATATCAAAAGGGTGTTTGTGTGCTTTGCTATTGACACCGTTAATAAACTTCATTACCACTAAAAGTAGTAAGATCGAGAAGACCATTCATTAAATTTTTCTACATCATAATCTTTAATTTTAAAAAAATTATATGACCAAGTCTAGCATACCAGATCGATGCACTATCATTTGTACTCATCTTATCAACATAAGTAGTTGACGTCAACAAAACATGTAAATCTTTGACCCTTTTACCATAATATACTATATGTGCATCTAATTCTTTTATATTATAAAGAATCTTGACTTTATTAGGATAAAAAAGAATAAAATTTATATCATCAACTGCATTTGCAATAGAGAAGAGATTTTTCTTCGTACTTGGAATATGGTACACACTCTTCATTGTAGTAGGATCATTATCTTTATTTGAGATTATAATAATACCATTATTTTTCATTTGGTGAATATTATTATTTGTCATTGTAATTATATATTTACCTTCATATTGATGAATATTAGTGAATTTGGTACTATCACCAGCGAAATAATGATCACATCCTGAATCAACAATCTAGTCATTTTCAAAATTGATAGATGTCATTGCCTTACTAATTTCAACCATAAAACATTTGTCCCAATTTTCAGCATTAGAACAATCTTCTTTATTTGCAATATTTCTTTTTTGAATCTTCACACAGATAGTTTTTCTTGATATGGCCTAACTTGTCACACCTATAATACTTGATCTTCTTTCGATTTGCACAATTATTTGAAGAAGACTCTTGCTTACTTACCATCATTCTTCTTCTTTTTATTGTTATCATTACCCTTTTTCTTATTTATAAAAAGGGCATCTCCATCTCCCCTCTGAAATAGAAGTTCCTATCGTTTGACGAGCTAGGGATTCCTAAGAAGTAAGAAGATTTTTCAATTGTACTAAAAATGATTGTTGAACCCATCCTTGAATCGATGTAACATAAAAAATATATTCTATTCGAATACCATGAATAATATAATGTTTCATTCGTACATCGCACATCTAGATCTAAGAGTGATATCATTGAACATAAATTTTTAATCTTAAAAAAATACTAAGAAATTAAGATGTTATGTTGGATAGTATTTGTTAAATCATTCTTCAAATACTAAAGCTAAGTGATATTTTTTTTTATTGAGCAATGCATCAAGAGTGATCCTCTTTAAAGTTGATTTACATCGAATAATATGTTCAAAGAGATCATGGGAAATATATATATATATATATATATATATATATATATATATATATATATATAATATAAATTCAACCTTTTTATTTAAAATCCTCCATCTTTTCATGACGTCTCCATTTGCAATATCGGGTACTGTTGTTGTATTGCCACCAATCACATCTCATAGATCTTCTTGAGATAAAGACTCCAAACAAGTCTTCTAGATCTTATAGTTACACTTATTGATAAGTTCAATACCAAATTCATCAACTCAACTATAATTTTTTATAGTTGAAAAAGATTATTTTCTTTACTAAGAAGAGCTTGAAATACATATTATCACTCTTGTGGCTTTGATATCATGTAAAGAAAAAGAGAATCACATGTAAGTATAACCTTTTCTCAAATAGTAGTAACAAGATACTAATAGCCCAAAATCGTAGTAACAAGGTACTAATAGCCTAAAATCAAATCAAATAAAAAAAGATGCCACCTATTTATGGATATAAAATACAAAGAATCCTTAATCCCTATAACTCTACCATCTATTTATGGATATAAAGTACAAGAATCCTTAATCTCTATAACTCTAGCTAATATTATTTGAAATCTTCTAAAATTTATTTTGAACTAAGAATTCCTTATCCTTAAAATTTTATATAATTTTATTTAAAATATAAAAATATTAATTTATAATGTTTCGAAATATACTTTTAACTTCTTAACAAATTTATCACCGGAACTACAATGGCGACGACACCAAATGTCTCTCAGTGTTCTTGGGTTTAGTGTGGCACCGGAGCTATGGAACAAGAGCCATGGCGACGACACCTGCGATCCAGGGAGCAGCAGCAGACATCTCTGGGTGTTATTGGGTTCAATGTGGTGCCGAAGCTATGGAAGAAGTGTCATGGATGGCGACGGCACCTGCGATCCAGGGTGCGACAACAGATATCTTTGGGTATTATTGTATCCCTGTTGGGTCCAGTCTATATGTGGGCTTGGACAAATTGGGTCGTTCGAGCCCAGATCAAAGAAATCAGTAATTAAGAAAGAAAGGGCAAAAGGTGAGAAAATAGAGATTACAACGTGCATAGGAAAGAGGAGAGAGAAAGATTAGGTTTTTGAGTTTTCTGCTTGACGATCGGTGGTCAAACGTTATTAGTTTCGGCCCAAATTTTAAGTGGAGAATTCTTGCAGCAAACTTTACAATCCTAACGGTGTTGATCTGCAGTTTACCCTATCTAAGGTACTTTCCTACGATATCTACTTTGTGAGACTTAGAATTCTCTTACGAGGAGATCCATCCTACGTGATGAAGATATGCTATTCTTGAGCCAAGATCTATGATCTTAATGTTATTCTGATCCTCTAGTTATTCTAGAAAAAATATACTGTAAACCTGTTATCATTATTATTGATAGTGGAAGTTTGAGGTGGACTACGGTCCCGTGATTTTTTTCATATTGAGTTTTTTACGTTAAAAAGATTTGGTCTTACTGTGTGGTTGATTTTTGCTCTATTGTTTATGCTGTGCTGGTTGATATTTTCATTTGAATATCAAGTTGGTATTTTCATGAGAAACCCATTTTGATATATAAAGAGGGAAAAGAATATTCCGCTTACCCAACAATCCCTAACACAGAAGTTTTGGGAAAAGAGCCAATCTTACGAGGGTTCCCATTCCGTGCCAGAAGCGAAGGAAGCGTGGATTGCCATTACATATTTGGATCGTCTTGCGAAGGTTTCCCTACGATGCCAGAAGCGTGGACTTAATGGATGGATTTGTTGACGACCTCGACCTCTCAAAAGCGTGGACTTGCGATGAGATGTATGGATTTCTTGACGACCTCGACCTCGTAGCGGAGGCCACACTCGCAGCAGCGACATTGGTAGCTCCACCTGCTACAGAGTCATGGATGGCGGCACCACCCACGAGCCAGGGTGCGACGGCTGATGTCCCCGGAGAATTAAGCTAGGAGCTTTAAATCGTCCAAATTTCTGCAAGTTGTAGTCGTTTTGGAAGTTGGATATTCTTAAAAGTTGCTTGCGGAGAGAGGATGATGATGATTATGGATCCTGACAGTTGGGTGTTTATGCTTCATTCTGATGTGTTATTTCTGTTGGTTTTACTGTTGCCTCACAAACTCGACTAGTATAATTGATGTCCATCACCCAAACATATCTTGATTCTTCCAGGTTGCATGTGATCTTGCTAATACACATAAGATGATATTAAAACTGATCATTGTTGATGGGTTTTGCCTTATGATATCTTTGAGGATAATTGTGTCATATTAATCTTTCATCTTTAATTATCCAAATATGCTATTAACAAAGAAAGACCCATGCTCCAAATGTGCCACCATATTGTTATGTTGACATTGGAGTCAAGAGTACTTGAAACAAGGGCATCCAAGCATGATTATATGCGAGAGGAGAACCACGATCCTTCATACCATCATCGACCAAGTGGGGCGACGGGGAGAACCATGATGTCAACCCGATCATAGGCGAGAGGAGCCTTACACTAGTGAACAAGAAGGACGAGAAATTTCTTGAAGGACGAGTATCTAATATCAATAATAGTTTGTGCAGTTCAATAGGTGTTTGTGATCACTCTGCAATGATTGTTATATATGCATGTGTAATTGATCTACCCAAAAATAAATATAAATCAATCGTAATGTATTTTAATTGTATTGTGTGGAATTGGTTCCTTGATATTCTCGTTTCTTTATATTTGAATTTAATTCCCTGTTTATTTGTGCAAAAGATTTTGATAGGCAAGTAACTTTCAAATTCGATTGCCATATCTCGAACTGAGCAGTGAAGAACAAAAATAAATATAATATATATAAACAAAACATAATC